CACCTTGTTGTCTCGGATTCTCCAGCATCTGCAGTTCCTACTATCTCTGCAAAATAGTGAGCCCTAACTGCACAAGCAGTGGGAATCACATTTGATTGGCAGCATTGTTTTAGTAAGTTCAATTGCAGCAATATTCACACTTTGAGGCTCTCTGAACATCGCTCACTCCCTTCCTCCTCCTTCCCTCCTCTCCCTCATCCACTCCCAGCTCACTCCCTCCTCCTCTTTCACCTTCCTTCTCTCCCCCACCCCTCCTCACTCACTCCCTCCCTCCCCCCCCTACCTTCCCTCCTCCCATCCTACCTTCCCTCCTCCCATCCTACCTTCCCTCCTCCCATCCTACCTTCCCTCCTCCCATCCTACCTTCCCTCCTCATATACTCCCAGCTCACTCCCTCTTCCTCCTCTTTCACCTTCCTCCTCCTTCTCCTCTCCCCCACTCCTCCTCACTCACTCTCCCTCCCTTCCTTCCCTCCTCCCATCCTACCTTCCCTCCTCATACACTCCCAGCTCACTCCCTCTTCCTCCTCTTTCACCTTCCTCTTCCTCCTCCTCTCCCCCACCCCTCCTCCCTCCCTTCCTTCCTCCCTCCCTTCCATTCTCCCATCCTACCTTCCCTCCCCCTCCACTGCCAGCTCACTCCCTCTTCCACTCTCTTCTTCCTCCCCTCCATTCTCCCCCACCTTCACACACTGCTGATACTGTTTGAAGAGCTCGCTGCACGGATCCGGGCTGCGGTCGCCCTTCAGGAATTTCTCGGCGAACCAGCGGTTGAAGCACAGGTCGTAGCCGCGCTTCAGCTCCACGCACTCGGAGCCCACACTGTTCATGTCGAGGAAAGGCCGCACGCCCCACTCCGCGCCGCCGCACTCCGCCTCACAGCCCACGTGACACCTTCCACCACGGCGGCGCACCCCGCTCCGCCATCATTGATACTGGCAAACGCTGTGTCACACTTGAGAGGCGCCATCATTGATATTGGTGAACCCTGCCTTACACCCGCAAGGTGTCATCATTGATACTGGCAAACTCTGCCCCACACCCGGAAAGTGCTATCATTCACACCGGCAAACATTCCTCATTCCACACACAAGGGACGCTGTCATTGATGTTGGCGTACAGCGCCCACACCCCGAGATACCATCGTTGATATTGGCAAATCACTGCCCCCACACCCGGAAGACGCCATCATTCATACTGGCACTGCCATGTGTTCTGCGATGGATGGGACTTGGCCCGTTCTTTCCCTCTCTCTCTGCGCTGCACCAGTTTCCCACCCTCTTTATTTTATCTGCGGTAAAGCTCTCTATGCTGACAGCTGGTGGGAGGATGGCTCCGGGCTGTCAATCATGCTGAGTTGCCAACCTCCCGATCACCGGGACTTCTCCTTTTCCAGGAGGAATTAATGGGTTTGAGGTCAAAGAGGCGCCGGATCAGCAGAACACAACTTAGACTCCGTTAAAATTAAACACGAAAATTGAAAGCGAAAAAAAAATCTCATCGCCCGAACAGGGACTTGAACCCTGGACCCTCAGATTAAAAGTCTGATGCTCTACCGACTGAGCTATCCGGGCCCTGAGAGAAGAGCTCACTACATTTCATTACAGCTCAGAAAGCAGTCTTCTACTGTCAAGAATATGTTTTTGTCTATTTCATTCGTTTGTCCAGTTTCCCCTTTAAGACCCCCATGTTATAGATTAGCCTCCCTAAAAAATTTACACGTTCACTCTCTTAATTACTTTCTGGATAAGACGTTCTCCTGCGTTCCCTGTTGCGTATCATATTTACAGCCTGATCTCCTGCTAATAAATTAAAGGCTCTATCCTATCTGGTGCACATTCAGTCAAACTATTGGTCTGGCACCAGACTATGGAGCTACTTTTTCAAAATCAATTTAAGCACATTAAACCAAAATGAATCAAATTATAGAGCAGCAGGGCACTGCAACGGATCTCAAATGTTCAAATTAAACCTATAAAATTGAAATTAAAATGTTATTTTGGGTGGTGAGAATGCACTCCAGCCCCAGCGATGCCCATGGTTGAGGAAGTTTTTCTTCATTTATTCATTTATGGGATGTGGGCGTCGCTAACTGGGCCAGCATTTATTGCCCGTCCCAAGTTGCCCTTGAGAAGGTGGTGGTGAGCTGCCTTCGTGAACCGCTGCAGTCCACCTGCTGTGGTTGACCCGCAAAGCCATCAGGGAGGGAATTCCAGGATTTTGACCCAGCGACAGTGAAGTAACAGCGATATATTTCCAAGTCAGGATGGTGAGTGGCTTGGAGGGAAACTTGGAGGTGGTGGTGTTCCCATATATCTACTGCCCTTGTCCTTCTAAATGGAAGTGGTGGTGGGTTTGGAAGATGCTGTCTAAGGATCTTTGGTGAATTTCTGCAGCGCATCTTGTAGATACACACTGCTGCTACTGAGCGTCGGTGGTGGAGGGAGTCAACGCTTGTAAATGTATTTCCAATCAAGTCAACTGCTTTGTCCTGAATAGTGTCAAGCTTCTTGATGTTGTTGCGGCTGCACTCATCCAGGCAACTGGGGAGTGTTCCATCACACTCCTGACCTGCGCCTTGTAGGTGGTGGACAGGCTCTGGGGAGTCAGGAGGTGAGTTACTCACTGCAGTATTCCTAGCGTCTGACCAGCTCTTGTAGCCACTGTGTTTATGTGGTGAGTCCAGTTGAATTTCTGGTCAATGATAATCTCCAGGATGTTGATAGTGGGGGATTCAGTGATGGTGTCACCACTGAATGTCAGTGTTCCAGCAGATACTCTGTGTTCCCTCTCCAAGGACGACCAGGCATTAACGTCCCAGGGAACGGATGAAAATGTCCTGACTGGATTCTGCTTAGGCCTGTTTGCGGCCCACCTCTCCCCCTGCCCCCTGCTCTCTGGTGTCTCCTCTCTTCTCCCTCCTACTCTGACAGTTTTTACTGAGGGTTTGTGTCAATTTTCAATTCTCAAAATGGGATGAAAGTAGGACAAAGTTTGGAAGCTCTGTCCTAAGCCATTTTGCCACCAAGTCTAGATGGCATTGTCATAGTAGGTGGTGCTTAAGGCCCTCCTTAGTATTAACCCTTTCAGACCCTTACACCATATAGAACACCATGCACCATAATTTGAAGAACTTCAACTGATCACCTCCAAGTTTTTTAAAGTGCTCCAAACTGCTTCTCACTTCTCACTCTGTCACATCATTGGGATGAACCCTGTGTTTTGAGTGATTTCTTTCCAATTTGTCCATCCCAACATTCACTTCCATTTAAAAAAATGTGTTTCTTTCTTTTTGTTGTTTGATGCTCAATAAGCCCATAGCAATAATAGACCTGCCTCTGTCCTAAGACAATGTGTGCTGCTGGGCAAGCGTTTGCCAACTTGTAAGCAATGTGCCTTCAAATCCAGCAATGTTTATTTAGAGTGAAGCAGAGTTAATATTTCGGATCAGTCACCTTCTATCCATCAAAGGGTAGGTTTAGGATAACAAACCTGTAATGTTAATCTTACACTTGTCTCTACACTGAAGCTGAGGGTTTTCAGCATTTTTGGTCTGTAAATGTCACGCCCCGTGCTTTCGAGCAATTATAGTTCACTAACTTTAACAACTCAAGGCCCTCAAAATATATTCTGAAATAACTCCACAAAGGCTGGGTATTCTGTCACCAAGTCTCCCTTTATTTACACGTCGAAAGTCCTTGACACTGATCCAGCCCCCTCGGAGCCAGCTCTCAGAGTGAACAGGATGTCTGACACTCCTGTTTATATCTGTCAGCCAGGGCTCCCTGATTGGACCAGGTTAACAGACCCAATCAGGGAATTCATATTCTATGAGGTCCACCTGTCTGTATAATTACTACATCCCTTCCACTCTGAGTCCGAGGACATAGTCCTACTCTTTTTTTTGTAGCTCTTCCTGGGGTGTTATAGCACCGGGATAGGTTCCTCCAACTCTGTCTCTGATATGGGTGGTGTCTAATGCACAGTAGCTCACCTCTTGCACCCGGACCATCCTGGAAGAAATTCATAGTCTTCTTCAGGCGGCAAAGACTTCAAGGTGGTGACATCCTCTGTGTCTGTCTCAGATTCTGAGGTATCTACAACACCTGATGGAGGAGGAGAACCCATGGGTTCTGGAACAGTCAAAAAGGCACTCGAGGAGCCAGGCACGTTTTGTTCCCGCACTGTTTTGTGAATTTGCAGCTTTCATATGGCCCACTTGCTTGTTCAGGACTATCACACCTACCTAAGCTTTGTAAGTCACTGGACCTGATCTCATGTCGACCATGCCCCTTACCCATGCAGGGCCATTGCCGTGGTTCCTGCACCAAACTTCATCCCCTGAAGTAAACTGTCTCTCTCGCTTAGTGGAGTCTTGTGTCCAGCATTGGCGTTCCTTATGCCATTTCACTCACGCTGATTTAACCTGGTGCGGAGTCTTCTCCCCATCGGTAACTCTGCTGGAACTATCCCTGTAGTTGAAAGAGGGGTGGTCCTATAATCAAATAGTTTGGTATCGAGTGAAGCTGTAGGCTGTTTCTTTAAGTCTGCCTTCAAAGTTTGGACTGGTCTTTCTGCCAGACCATTGGACGATCGATGGTATGGAGCTGTCCTTACATGCCGAATGCCATTCGACTTTAGGAAATACTCGAATTCCCTGCTGATAAACGACGGCCTGTTGTCTGGGACCAACATCTCCGGGAGCCTGTGTATTGCAAAAGATGCTCGCAGTTTTTCTATCGTCATCCCCCTGTTTGACGAATGAACTCTTTGCACATCTACTTGGAGCGGGCATCTACAGTGACTAAGAACATTCAGCCCATGAGAGAACCTGCATAGTCAACGTGTAACTGAGTCCAGGTTTACCCAGCCATTCCCACAAATGTGGGGGAGCTGTTGGTGGTAATTTTTGTCAGATTTACAGCCCCAATACCATATGAGTCCGTCTGGCTGACCTCATTACAGTCACTATATATTCTGTATTATGAGACAGAACAACATACAAGTGAATTATATTTTGTTTAAAACAGTTTTTACATTGAATTTAATGGAATATGTTGGATAGAAACACCATTTTGGTCAACTAATTATACACTGGAAGGGAAATGAAATTTTTTTAACAAACAGCAGAAGCAGGATTTGAACATTGTGGTTGTGCCAGAGATCAATTTTCAGGTGTACAAGTCAAGCCAGGTTGCATCATTCCCAAGTTTTCCTGTTTTTCCCTTCTGCTATTCCACACATGCCTTGCATCATTCCATCTACTTCATCTCAGTCTTTGTTTTAATATTTTGTATTGAAACAATGGCCTGTTTTTGGGGAGTTTGTTAGATGCAGCTTGACAACAAGCCATGATAAGCAGAAAGCTGTGCACAAGACCATCAAATCCTGCAAACCTGTGGTTATATATCATCACTCCGAGATGTGGCTGAAAAACATCTGGAGGAAATGGAACTTGAAGGAACGATGGCCCGATTCAATTCCCTTGGTGCAGACTCTTCCTTATAATAAAATGGGTTTCTGGCTTGTCTAAAATATACTTAAACTTGCTTTTGTGCAAGAAAAATAGCAGGGATTCATTTCAGGTGTCATGATAACTAATGAATCTATGATTATACTTTACTGTACTGTCGGTACAATTTCAGTTATGCATGTTACCGTGAAATGTTCAAATCCACTTGTCTACAAAAGAAAAGAAAGTGTCACAATTCTAGATCATTGTCTTTTTCTGAATTGGGTTTGTGTCCTGAGTCGTTTTGGCAGTTGTAATTTTACTGCTCAGTCTTTGTGAATAAATGGATTAATAGATAGTTTAAAAGCATTCCTGCATCCAGAATGTCTCAACGCAATATTATAAAG